GGGGGCGGAAATCAGATGCTTTTAACTGGTTTATTCTTTATCCTGTCAATTTAGTTTCCTTGGGTATGCATTTGAAACTCTCCAGCAGTACAGAGAAGATATTGAGAAATTTCATGCATTCATCATGCCCAATTTTGACAAGGTTAATTCAAGTTCCAGCCAGAAACAGAAGTACTGATAAACTAACTCCAAGTGTTCCATATCAGGAGGGGGGGGAAAAAAAAAAATCCAAGTTTTTCTTCCAGGGAAAATCCAACTTTACTCAAGCAACTTGTAGAACTGTTGACAATAGACATCAGACAAAGGCTATTTGTTTTGCTTTTGGGGACAGGGGAGAGGGGAAAAAAAGGCTGCTTAAACAGGCTCCGTCCTAGCTATAGGATTGACCTTTTGGTTGTGCTGATGTTATCAGGAAGGCCAAGGATGCGATATGCTAGGTTAAATATCAGACAATACAAGCGTTTCTTCTGCATAAGGACTCATTTGTATAAAAGTAGCCTGACAATGTCCTTTTGATCTTATCATATGTCTGTATTTTCAAAATGCAAAAGCTTTGATGCTGTTGAGACCTGTGGGGGTGGGGAGGACAGGGAAAAAAAATCACTTCCCCCCAATTTGCAGCAGTTATCCGTTAGTTCAAGCCCAAACTAGGAGGCTCTTGTAGCTTGGATGCATACAGTGTCAAATCAATGAAAGTATTATTAACAGCCACAGGAACAAATTCAAATACCAGAACATATTTAGGAGGCATCTTAAAGAAAGTTAGAGCAACCAGGAATAAGATGATATTTAACACTTAATTAAACACTTTCTTTCTGTGATAGGAAACCAAGAAGTGTAAATGTGAGCAGGTCATATTGCATCAGATTGTGCAACTTCCCAACAGCTGTATCACAGTACTGTCTGACAGCCTCTGCTGCATTCTAACATTTTTCTGTTTGCCTCCCTTACCCCCAAACCCACAAAATGATTATTCCCCCCAGAGAGAGACCGAGCCTTGCCTAGCACCTTAAAACGCAAGGTCTGTCGCCTTATACCAACTCACTCCTCTGCACCGCAGTGACCTCTTATTTAAGGTAACTGCAACGGATCACAGACCCTGGTCCACCCACCGTGTGGATTCGAGTTTTGGGTTGTCACCAAGCGTTCTGCTGTGTTCAGTGAAGCTTAACTTTCAGTTCTTCACTTCCACCTTCCATTTACAGTTGCATGGACAAACTTGTATACATAAACCTGAATGCAGACAGCCATTTTGTTTCCAACCATCTACACAAAATATCTGGGGAGTACATGCAAATATTCTATCTTCCTTTATTAAGTGAAACTATGAGTCATTCTATTACTTTGCTATTCCAATAAAGTGAATCTTAAATCCGTTACCTGATTTTCTTTAGCAGAAGATTCCAAGAAAGCTGCATTCCAGGACTCTGCTAAAGCTTTCCCTTCTTCATAGCTGATCACCCTGACCAAAGAGAAAAAGTATGTTTCTTTATAACTTGCAAAAGAATTGGAATTTGATACTTCAGGAAAGTTCTCAGAGTACTGAAGTACATAAAAGCACATAATAGGAATGTTTTGTGAAGTCTGATCCGGAGCATTTGCTTTTGGCTGCTGTCAAATACACTACCGGGCCAGGTAAAACTGCTATGTGACCCAGAAGAGCAGTTGTCCCAAAGTACTGCTTTGCTTTCATAACCTGTAATGTCATCTGGTATTTTACAGTTGGGGAAGAAATACACTTCTGTTACTTGTTTTGAAAAAGACAGAAGCATTAAATGGCCTTCCCTGGAACTTTATAGCAAAAGTCAACATTACAACAAAAGTTCATGGCTCCTAGTTCACATTCTGGACACAATTCCTTTGCCAGTGCCTTATTTTAACCTACAATTTGATTTTAGTTATGGAAAGCCAAGAACAAAACTAGCGCATTGCAGCCACAGGAATGCCGGCTGCTGTCTTGCATTTCACACATACTGGAGTTCACATACCGTTCCATATGCAGGTCTTTTTTATTTCCAACCAGCATAATGGGTATTCTGTGAAAGAAAGTTCAGAACTTCAGAACAGTTATAGTATACTGAACAAAGTACTAGTAACATGCCTGCAATGAAATGAGATGAAAGTGTCACTACTTACTGGACTTTTCCCACCATATCCAATAACTTGCCATGGATAACTTTTATCACTTCAAAACTGCAAAATAAAGGGATGAAGTCACACATGCACTCCAATGTTTATCCTTAATACCCAATACACAAGCAATTAAATGCATATGTAGGTTGCTGTGTTTAAAACTTACTCTATGTATAGTGGCAGAACTACAAACATGCTGAAAGTCTTACCGCTTTGTGTACAACAGACAAAATGGTCCCAGAAGCAGCAAAGACCAGCCTATGCCTACCATTATAGCCTCCCCGGTTATGATACTTGCAGAAATAAATAACATTACCCAGGATCGACGCATCTAACACAGAATCACTGAAAGCCCCTCCCACCTCTCATCTGGTTTGTATCTGCTGTAAGAAATTTAACTGCTAGAGTCCGACAATCCTGGATGAGCATGTCAAATTAAAGCAGGTTCAAAGAGAAAGTATTTAGTTAAGCACACTCCATCTTGAAAGAATACACTATTTTTTAAGAACGCTTAGTTCATATAGAATTCTTTAGTTTTATTTACGTGAAAGGCAAAAAGACCCAAAATTCTGGTTTTCTATGGAAAGTGAGTAAACTGAACTGCAAGACGGTATCGAAACAGCGGTTATTCAAATACTTGTTGTCTGTTCACCTACCACATCCATGAGGTTTGGATGAAGGGAGGTAAGAAGAAGTACTGAGAAATATCAAGAAGCCAAAAACCTCACTAATGAAATCCTCTGCATTTGACATTTAGCACTTTTGAGAACAAGCTTTAAATGGGGTTGAAGAGCAGATATGCTCCTCTAATTACATTATGGAAAAATGTTGGTACATGAAGTGCACAATTCAGATTTGAGAGGGGCACAGGCTCACAGACGAGACGCACAATTAGACAACAAAAAAGTGATCGAAACTTTTCCAACTTCCAAGGTTGTTAGTTACAGGCAGTGTTTTGACTTGCACTGCATTTCAATTAGAATTGAAACTCTTAAAAATAGAGCAGCACTCAAATGCACTTCCAACTCAGAACTCTCAAAGAACTGGTGCCTAAAAACACTATTCAAACTATTTGAATCATTAAAACTTCTCACTTTTGGAACAATAAACGCTTCCATATTTAAGAAGGATTTTCTGTCACGTAGGTCAATTTCTCCGACTTCAGCAATAATTTTCCACACTGAGTAGAACACAATACTTCTCCGTATTAAGCTAATAGTTTTAGTATATCCTACCAAGAAAACTACTTCCTTGTAAACAGAAGCCTGATTTAGTCTGGCACAGCTTACTATTAGTAACTCAAGTGCAATACTACAGATTACATAAAAATGTGGAATCAATGAAAGGACTTTAAGGTTACAAAGAGCTTATGCTGAAAAAGTATTAGCAAAATTCTGGTCCTGAGAACTTGTCTTGCACTTTCATTCTTATAATTATTTCAAAAATAAAGAGTTAAATGGCGCTTGGTTGTGACAAAGTTGAGAGGCATTGCTACACGCAGAACTAGGTGATCCTGCAAACTGAAAGAATAAAAATACTACCAAAAAAAATACTGCTACAGACCACAGAACTGTTTCTCAGTCTGAAGCAACAGGAAAGATCTAGCGTACTAGCCACAGGGTAACTGAATCACTACCACAGTACAATCCCTGTTTCCCTTCCACTATTAGGTGTGTTTCCAGCATAGCCAGAAAAACACCATGCCACAGAACAGCACCCTGGCGAGTCCTCACCTGAGGTTCCAGTCCACAATGCTGCTAAGTGTTCTTGTTCAACTTGGGTTCTCTATTTCCCAAGTCTGTGTACCTCTGCTTGCGCAGGATAGCTCATGAGCTCCGGATTTAGTAAAAATACGACAAATAAACAACTGATCTTTGTTGACAGATCAAGGCGGAAACCAAAAGAGAACTGCTATGTAAAGTCAAACGCAATTCTGACACAGAAACAAGTTGCTAAGAATTGTCAAGAATTAAATTGGCTTGACCAAATCAACTTAACGTTCTCGAAAGCTTTTCAGATTAATAAGGCTAGAAGGAGCAGGGACACACTTTAAGACAGGTATTGACCAATCCAAAGAGCATCATCACATCAAGTTGTGAAACAATGAGATATGTGGAGAACATAAGACGTCCTTTCCAGTTCTGTCAAGCAAATAAGGTTACAGCAAATAGCTCAATGTGTGAAATATAACAAAAAATATTACTAGCTGTCAGATAAACGTGTTACACAAAATCATGGAACCTAGCAAGATACAAAATTGGAATTTAATTAAGCTGAAGTAGAGCAAAAGCCTTCCAGTAACCTTGCTGGGGAGAGCCTGGGAATACGAAAAATGTAGGGCGTTAGCTTCTACTCAAGTCCCATTTAAACTTCCCACGGGAGGTTAGCAGGGAAGATGATAAATTTAAAAGGGCATTTCTATTGAGCTTGCTGTCAAAGCTCTCACCCCTGCTGGATCAATACTCAGATCAATATACACACTTTGAAGTCAAGACAGACAGTGACTGTAATTGGATTGCCTGGGCAGGTCATCTAAGCTACCAGAGTACTGTGGCAGATCTTTCCTATTGCCTAACACAGTCTTGATACAGAACATAAGGAATTGAACAAGATCAGATCACTGAAACTTTGAAATCTGAAGGAAGGAAAAAAAAAAGGAAATAAACAGATCAAGACTAAAATACTGATGAAAATACTATCTACCTGCAGTCTTAAGATACCTTGTTCTGTTAGTATTTTCACCATAATTTAGTTTCTTTAACTGACTGAATGCTACCACAGAAAACAGACTTTCATTTCTTTATCTGGGCTGCTAAGCTCAAGACATCATGAGGCAACAACTGGAGTAGCTGAAAAAGAGCATGTCCTTCAGCTGCCAGCTAGGGAAAGCACAAGCTGCAGAAGCCTCCAAGGATCTATGCTGATTTTAGTGAAAGACATTTTTGTCCTCACAGTACCACTTATCAATGAACATTTTTCTCTTCACTTCAGGAGCGGAGGATTGTCTACTTAAGGCTGCGAATACAAACTCCTATTTCACAGAAGTTATTCACCACCAACAATGAAGCTCTGATTTAAAAAAAGGAGTTAGGTAGTTTAATATCCCTAGGCATACACAAAAGCCTAACATCTGTTGTATCTCCTCCAGACCACATCTGCCTGCCCTTCACTACTTTGGAACTGAAGATGAAAACCAGGAATGAAGGACTGCCAAAACCTGTTCAACATTAAAGACCTTGCAAGCAACAGAAGTTTATAACCAGACCGTATCCTTTCTTTGAGAAGCACAGAAGAACCAACAGGCACGTTGTTTTACTTGCATTTTATGACTGTCTGCTAGAGAGCATTTGAGATGACCAGTTTTGTCTGCTTCAGAGAAAAGACATGGAATGCTTCAGCACTCATAAAAAGCTGATCAGCTTTCGTGCATGTGGAAGGGAAGCATGAACCTCTAAGTTGAAGAGAGTGAAAGGACTACGGTCTTAATCATTTTACTCAAACAAAAATTTTAAAAACATAGGATTATTTTGGCTGCCGTAACAAAGATACCATACTAGAAAACACTAAAAAATTAAGATCTATTCAAGAATGACCAGCATTTACACAAAGCAATACAACCACAGGAAAGGGACAAAATAATGGAAGATGATAAAACCTTACGAAGGCTGAGATGTTTCTTGCAAGTAAATGACTCCAGCTACGATGGACTCTGGCCTCACATCAGAATGGACTGCAGCCAACAACGAGGACAAAACAGATCTCTGGGAAATTTTTCAAGTATCATATTTACTGCAGCATGGCAAGAGTGAGTCTATAGGCCAAGAGTCATATATTGATATATTGCTACTTATATGAAAGTTTCTGATGGTTAACCAGAACAATCCAAGCTAAGAAGTCAAAGAAATCTCAGTACTCTAACGAGCTACAAGGCTGCGGGACCGATCTAGGGATTCATCCGGTACTTCACATGAAAGAACAGTGCCCTTTCAGTTCACACTCAAGTCCACCTTTATATCTGATGCTAGAGCAATGAACTCTATACTTATTCCCGAAATCATTCTATGTACTTTTACTTACACCTCAAACCAATGTAGTTCAGCACTGTCTTGTTTCTTACGCAGTACCTTGCATATTAGTCTGTAAAGTGCCTGTGACACTTGGATCTGAGGGGAAATTTCTGAAAACCCATTAATTTTTATTTCCATTATACTTCTAAGGGAGAGAGATATTCAATGAATTAGACACATGTCAAGAAAATAGAGCAGAGGCAGGAGCTGAACTCAATATATCTGGTTAGTAACTGATCCAGACAAACACAACAGATTTTATTACCTTTTTATTGACGTGACTGAATAAACAAGAATGTAGCCATTGATGTCTATGGAGTACGTCTGAGGAAATATGGAGTATTCATCCTGTAGAAGGAGTAATGCATTTAAAATTACTTGTTGCCACAGCTCATAACTTGATGCTAGCAGATCACCAGCAGTTAAGTTTGTCTATTTGTAAGACATGAGGTGCAGGACCATTTTGTATAGGTAGCACTTTCAGAATTAAGTTTTTTTCATCACAACACCAGATGTGGAATCTTTACCAAATTAAGAGAAAGCTAAGTCAGTCTCTATACTCTAAAATTTAATCTACAGCTTTTTTGGTTTATTCCCTCTAAGACTATGGATCAGCCAAAGCTATCCCCAATCCTCTTACCCTGCTTAATTATCAGTTTATATCAGTACAAAACATCCACTCTGTCCTACCACTAATTAGCAATTACATCTCTTATCTTGCTAGTGATACATTTCACATTCCTAATTTCAACAGCTGACAACAGGATCTAGCAGTTCATCATTTCAAGTGGCACTGATCACATCTGAATTACCCAAGGGGTCTGTTAAGAAGCAAATAACTGTGACTCACCAACTAACTAATGCTTATCAACAGAAATAAGGTTATTAGTTGCTTTACAACAACTAGAAACTTACATTATATGGCAAGCATTTAATTAAAAACAAAACCCCAGAAAACTTAATCACTGAATTTACTACCCCTGTACAAAAGGAACTGACCAAATAGGTAAATGTACCAGACTGACATATGGCAGAAAATGCAACACAAATACTACGAATCCCATGTTAAAAATCAAATTGTTCTAATAGATATTCCCAGGAGCACTTCCATTTTGACAAGAGCCATAATTCTTAATGTACGAGTTCTCAAATTTTTAAACCTATGCTTCTCAAGATGTTAATTTTAGCTTAAGATCGCATAACCTCTCTGTATATTGTCATGACTGAACAGATGGAGCAATGCAATCACGCAGCTTAAATCTAGACAGCCAAAAGGAATCAAACTTCCTTAACCGGCAAATGAGGAAAAACCCTTTCTAAATCAACTTCACAGATTCAGCCAAAAAAGTTTGAAAGAATACCGTGACAAAAGATGCCCTTATTTGCCTTTATTGCTACACACTGAGGGCAGCCCTCCCCCAGCTTCACTGAAATGCCAAACTGCCACTTCAGTTGGCCGTGTAATCCCAAAGTCAATACAGAAGGGATCTGAGCTACTCTGCGTGTAAAACAGGTGAAAGTGCAACTCTGTAGTTGTTTGACTTTACCCGGAATTTCTCAGGATTGCCCCACATAGAATTTGGTGTTAGGTAAGATTTCCTTTTGTGCCCCTCTTCTGTGATCCTGTACCAAGACTCCTGTTTAACTGAACTACGCAAATCTGAACAGATAACCGTGAAAGATAAAAGGGCACGAGACAGAAGATGAGCAACAAGAAAAGTAAGTGCCATAACCTCAACTGTTTCTAATTCATTACTTAATTTTTAGCTTGTTAGGAGAAGGAGGGAAAGCTTCTATGCTTCCTGGAACTTGTGGGTCAAATTAAGAACTTTGCCAAGAGATAAAACAACATACCTATAACTTTTCAAGTCATAGCCAAGTTTTCAACTACATCAAATCTACAATATAATCCTTGCTATGCTGTATACACATGAAGGCACCCTACAGATCACTAAGCAAGACAGACTTGAGAAAGAAATCTGTCCAAGCCACACTTTCTATCCATTCTCTCTAACTGTGTGAGCCAGAACTCAAAGTTCAAGTCACTGTTAGGAAGAATCAAATCTGAAAACAACCACAGGCTGGGAAAGAAGTTATTTTGGTTTTACAATACTGTATGACATTACAGTAGACATAGACAGCAATAGAGGTACGTTTCCAATGAAGTTACACTGCCTTCCCAGAAGGCCCTTTCTTCCTCAAAGAGAAATTTTACTTTTATCACTATGCTACAATCGGAGATGCAAGACAAACACACTTACATTGGCACAAAGTGAAGTCTATGGAGCCTGCTCTGCTGCTCACACCTCTCAGCCTGCCCATCTCTCAACCTCGCTCTCCTCTGCAGAACATTCCCCATCAAACAATCTTGCCCCAGAATGCGTGGCCAGTACTGTGTTTCTAATCACTTCAGACACCTCCGACAGACTGTAAGTGGGTATAGCGTTGCTGATCAGCACCACGAGCTGACACCACATAAACGCAGCACGGTTATTCTTAAGTCACGTGGTTCTCTTCAAAGAAAGTGATCAAACATACCTAGAAGGTTACAACCCTTCTGAATCGTGTCCCAGCTATGAGCAAGTGCCCTGCAGCTTTAAAGTCTTAAGTGCTAGCAGCATATTTTACAACACTAACATTGTTTAACACTACTTACTCATAGTTTGGAAAAACCCAAAGGCATAGTATCGGAAATCATGGAAGGTAAGAACATATAAGCAATAAAAAGTTTAGGATAAAAATACAGGTGTTTAACAGTCCCTGTTCTGTTGTTTTTTTTCCCCTAATAGAGTCTCTCAAAAGACAGGAGACTCCTGTGCGCGGAGCGTGCAGTGCAAGTTCAACCAAGCAGCACTATATAATGAACACCTCTAACTTCACGAAGCTACTGACCACGCTACAGGACACACGTTCACTGTCTCCTCCTGCACTCCCTGTCATTACGTGAAGGCTCAGCAGCACACATGAATCAACACTTACTTAAAAATGTAAACAAACTGCAGTAGTTTACTGGGAGCCCGGTAAGTACTACCTGTACGCGTTTCTGTCTACTCCCCATGACTATTTCACGGATACGAGTCACAGTGGCGTAGCTGGAGCACACAAATAGGAAAGTTATGAAAAACTTCTCCATGGTTTACTGAAGTGACATTTTTTCATCTAAAGCAAGACTGCTGGTTTAGTCCATACATATCAAGCAAACTACTTAGGAACTTTTGGTTCATCAGAGTTAAGGCAGTTCCTTCTACACTTTTTTTTTTAGACAGAAGTTCAATAGACAAGAAAAAACTAAAACAAACAAAACCCAAAGCAAAGCCTTTAAATAAACACTACAGAAACACTGTGACTTCAGTCACTTCATTCTGCCTTGTCGTTTAGTCACTGATTTAAGATAACCTTCACTTTTGAACATATGGTCGCTACCAGCTTCGCTGTACAGGAGTATGAATACCTGTTGTCTTAACTCTGAAGAAAAATTCAAAGAAAGAAAGATGACTTACTTGGCCAGCAGTGTCAACCAGCTGAAGATGATATTCTTGGCCATTTACTGTGATCAGTTTTGTAAAAGCTAGAATAAACAAGAAATACATAAACATGTCAGAATTATACACCAGGAAGCGATCAGAAGTCACTCATCTATGCCATCATCAGCCGAGGCACTAAGAAAAAGAACTTTAGTTACAGGCTTTAAAGTAGCAGTAAAAAGCTAGATCAGGCGACTGTACTTTTAACTAGCACACTGCAGATAACAAAACTCAGAAATTTACTTTAACATTTCAAATTTCAGAAGATTCTTACGCTGGAGGCAGCAGTTTCTCCTTTACTTACTCAAAAGCAAACAGTAAAAAAGGTTTTTTACATGCATTTCTAAGAGATTTCCAGGCAACTATTTGTGGTAACACAAATTTGTGGTAACACAAGACACTTACAATTAGGATCAAAGCTAAGTGTGAATTTATTCTAAGGTATTTTCCCTGGTTTCCATGCAGTTTAGCACAATCAATTTCTTAAATCTAAATACCATGAGGTAAATGATCTGGATTAAAGAAAAAAAAAGATTTGAGGGCTAAAACACACAGAGCTTAACTTATGAATACATTAAACCTAAATAATGAGAAATTAGCTAGAAGTTCACCATGCTGCTTTCACATTTGCCATATTTTCCAGCCTAGCTAGTCCTCAGTCACGAAGTACGTTCAGTCCCTAAAAGCAGCGAGAATTGCTTCTCTTCCTTGGATTCATGAAATGCCAATGCGCTGTGAGCTGAGGAATCTTACTCAGTGTTTGTATTATGCAACTGCAAAAGCAAACAGTGTCATGGCTCTTGCAGGGATAACGTACTACCGAGCACTACGTGTACCAACCAGAGCACAGAAACCTGACTGCAGAGCTTCACTTACTGGACAGTACTAACACACTGAGTAAAGTTTGTGTTGTCTTCTTGTTGAGGTGGTTTTCCCAAATACTAATAGTCCTAAGAAGCTTCATCTTTCACTGCAGTGATGAGCAGGGAAATAGGTAACACTGCAGTGACCTGCTCATCATACTCCAAGTTGTCCAACAGCTTCCTGAAGCTGCAAAGCTGAATGTTCTTGATCCTGCTGGGCAGTGTCCTGCCTACGCCTTCTGGGTTTTGTACAGGGTCTTGTAGAAGCTGAAGTTTGCCAACTTTCCTCCTCCCTGCCAATGTTCCTTGTCCTGTCAAGTCTCCACAATGTGCGCATTATCCCGAGTAAGTGGGCTGAAATATCTGAAACTGGAGGTTTCAACCCACCTAGTAAATCAAAGCACCCTTTTAAAAAAAAAAAAAAAAAAAAGGAACAATTCGAACAGCAAAGCCAAACTAACACAGAGCACCTAAACAAACAGCGTAACACGTACCTACAGTTTCCGTTACAACACCGACACGCGCAACGTGAAATGGAGCCTCAAAGAGAGAGCTCCTACCTTACCCTGCCTGTCCCCTAAGAAAGCTGCTGCAGCACACACAAATGTGACCTGCTCTCAGGTCACCGCCTGGCCGCTGCTGGCATTGCTGCGCAAAAATTTTAGGGTTATGAAGCAAGAATCCACAACAGCTCTTCGCCTTGGACAAATACTGTGGTGGGGGACTGAAGCAACGGTTTGTTTGAACAGATGTTAACACGTAGCATTGCTATATACGGTATCACTGCTTCAAGACAGAGGGAAAACAGATTCATTTGGAGACATGCTGCATTAACAGGTATATTAAAAGTAACAGTCTCTCTCTAGTCTCTTGACACTTTGCATGCACATCAAAGCACTCTGCAATCAAAGTAGCTTCAAAAGCCTCATGAAGTTAATATTTAAAAAGGGACAGAGACAGATGGCAGCTTTTTCAGACTATTCTAGAAGCCTAGAATAGACCCAGCACAGACATCATCATCATCAGTACTGGAAGCAGAGTGTGATAGAGCCAGGGGAAGGGAAGCAGTGGAGGAGTCACCACAGACTGGATGAGGAGAACTGTTAATTCAGTGCAGAGGCTTGTAGCACTAGGAACAGCCCACTGCATGAACACAAATCTGCTTTGATGCAGTCATAATTAATGACTCCCATTTCTTTGCTGAAGCTTTTTAAAAATAGTCCTGGTAAGAATTTCATCTTAGGGGAAAAAACTGCAGCTGTATTAAACGTGTTTAGTGATCCACAGATCCCCTTGATCCAGAGGAAGTCTTCACTTCTAATTCCATCACCTACCATCCTGGGACACATTGCCTTCTGCTGTGCCCACGAGCAAGACAAACAACCGATAATACAATCACGGCACAGTATGGCTCTTCCTAGTATGCCAAGGACAGATCTCAGCAGACCTGAACAATCTCTGCAGCCCTCATCATAACATCTGCAAAAAGAACTAAAGCCATTTTGCTGTCCAAGAAACTCCTGGTAAAATTACATGCAGAGCGCAGTCCTGAATGCTGCTACAGTTCAGCAGAAGTGTAACTTATGCCGCTACTGCATCAGCTGCTGATCATCCTTACCCTAAGATCAAGTATATTGATTAGACCAACATGAATGAAATAATTTCCATATGCAACTCAAAAGACAGCTGCTGTGAAAACAAGACATTATGATAAGAAATCAGGACCAGGTATGTGAAAGCAGACTTTCACATCAATAGTGCCACTGAGTAAAGGTATGAGAGTAGTGTGACATTATTCCCACAGAGCTACTTGCTGGTAGCTGAGTACAGCCACCTCGTAAGGGCTCCTCAGTTACTACTTTCTGCAGCCCTTTCCTACTTGTCTTCATTCCAAAGTCAATGCCTATCCCTAATCTGCCAGGGCATCTTTTACAACACTGAGATGTGTAACGCAAGGGAACTATTTTTGATTTTTCTCAGAAGGCTCATTCCCAGCCCTTGAGAAGGCTGCTCATTAGCCACTCCTGGGCAGATGCATTCTGCACCCTTCCAGTGCAGCTGCCATGACATGCATGGAAGAAGTTCAGCTTTAAGGATGCTTCTACCAGACCACCTACAGGTATCCACTTCACAACTACTAGGGTGCCTCCAGCCCCCTCCCCCTTTCTAATATGTTTCTTCTCACAATTGTATTAAAAAATAAGGGAGGGAGGTAGGAAGTCCTTGGGGAAAGACTGCTCCTTCCCTTAGGGAGCTACTGAGCCTGTTTAGGGGAGAAAGAAAGACAGACCATGGCACAGTGCTAGAAGCCTCTCCGAAACTGCAAGGAAAAGTAGAAAGCAGCCAGGCAGGCTTCAGAGGAGCTGGAGGAAACATTTTTGAGACTCGGGCAGTCAAGTCAACTTTTCTGCAACACAAAATAACCAAATTAATGACAACTAAAGACATCCCTGCAAAGATGGGGATGGGAGGAGTTACGTGCACATCTTCATTATCTATTCCTTCTGACCTATTTGCTTTGAGTTCCAAATAAAGATTCTACTTTTTATTCCAGTCAAATTTTTTAGTTTTAAATTGTTCTGGTCTTAGCTCATCTGAGCTAATCTGCTTTCAGAACCCTATCCAGCTCAGTGTTCACATCAACTCTCTCTATGCACTCCTGCTCTGCAAGGATCTTCCTTCTTTTTCCAACACTCCTGCAAGTAATCGCCCCCCTATAGTTTCTTAACCAGTCTGTCTCAAGAACAGCCACCCTTTGTGGTGTCACTCCCACAGGGACATTCAGAAAGGGAAATTCTACTTGGCTAAGCAATTAACTCTCACCTCCGCTGCTGCCACAAAATGCTACAAGTTACTCTTCCAGAAACACACGTTTAATAGAAGCAACTAAATTCAACATGCTCATTAACTTAAATAAACCAACTTTTCTGGCTGAAATGTAATCTAAGAAAAGGAAAGGGTGAAAAGCAGCAGCGAAGTGGTGATGACTTTGTTGACAAACACTAAGTGAAGCCTGATACAGCTTATTTCCCCTTTACCACTTCCAAAGAAGGTAGTGATTTTTACACCCGAAAAAATGAAACTACTAGAATATTAAATCTTATTCCTATTGGTCAAGGCTTATATGCTATACAACTCGTTCCTGGAAGAGCTTAACTATAGCTTGCCTTCTATACAATTTAGCTTTACACTCAATTTTTTGTATAAGTTTTATTATTTGAAGACAAAGATTATAAAGATTAAGCTATCAGCAGTCCTGCAGCTTTCTACCCTTTCATCAGTGCTGGTAGAATACCATAATAAATGATCAGTAACAATTTTCTGGAGGCAAAATGGAAATCACATAGGCCAGACTATTTTTTAGCATGTATTTTTTTCATTTCCAAGTTTTGTGACATTAAAGTAGACCCAGTCACTAGATGAAACTGAAAAGGCTTTATAACCTGCCATAAAGCACTGGGAAAATGCAACATTCCTCAATACCACCCCTTGTATAGGAATCTGGACTTCTCAACCCCTTTGCCAGCATGGTCAACCAGATTTGACATTACAAGCTGTAATGGAAAACAATAAAGTTGTTGATTACATACTTTCTGTCTCATGACCCTGCACAGAATCATAAACACAGCTGGGAGTGTCAGAAGATTGATCAGAGACTTATATTTAGAAAAAGCATTTTAAAAATTTAAGTACTTGAGTAAAAATAATGATTTTGTACTAATCCCATCAATACTAGTTTCACATGTCTTTTTCAACAAAAGATATCTTCAATATATTTTAAATTTTAGTGATTAAATTTGAAAGTGTTATATCTCTTCCATTCTTCACAGAAGCATTTTTAAAACATTCTCTCTATCAGGCCTTACAGGGCTTAAGGATGGGACAGACATACACTGTTTTGAACCTCAGGGCACATCTTTTATGTTTTCAATCCCTACTTCCCAGCAGAAGGGCCCTTCAATTCTCTACCTTTCAGAAAGCAAATTCCTCCAACCATGTCACAAATCACAAGACTTTCACCAAATGAATAATACTGTTTGTTTTCCAAACAAGTATGAAATCAAGTGAAAAGTTAAGCCTTTTCAGATGCTGCCGCCCAACAAAGCTTTTGCAGCCATGACATGCTCAATGTTTAGAATTCAGATCAAGCAAGCAGTACAGACTACAGGAGTCAAATAAGAGCAGAATTCATCCAGAGTGTATTTTCCTGTAAGTTAAGAAATGCTACCAGTGTGAGACATATGACTACAGGGTTACTAACAGCAGTTACAGCAATAGGTATCTGTGGACAACAAGAGCTTGTAAAGGATGAAACAAGCCAACCTTGTACCAAGGTGTCAAAATCCTAAAACAAGATATAGATTCAGTATTTTGGAAAGATTTTGACCCCATGTCTCTCAAGCTTTATTCATTCCCATACACCTGCACAAAACCAAAAGATTACTTTCAATAATTTGTATTTATATAGCACAGTGAAAAATAACTTGTCCCAACTGATATTAAGATTTAAAATACAGAAACTTAGTCCCCAATATTTTGTTAGCAGCTTTAATTCAAAGAAAACCTTAATTTATAGTTCTAACAAAGTAAAAAGGGATGATGGAAAGTGTTAATACTAATGACATCTGTATAAGGACTAACAGATCATTCAGGTCAAGGGGTAAATTATTCACCCTGACTCACTAAAGCAAATTTAGAGCTTCTCAAAAGTAGCATTTGAATTTTAGTTCTAAGCAATAAAATAATTCTGAGTAAAATATCCTGACAGCTCCTGATTTGTAGTTATCACCATATATATCCAAGAGAAACCTTGTTCTGCTGATTATTTCATTCAAACTTCTGTAGTATCACATAGGCTTAACATCCTACTGCATGAGTTCAAAACAGTAAAAATGTGTGCTACCACTGCATTTCAGAAGCCATTAAAATACAAGAACTTCAGGGTTACGATCATGATATCAAAGTTTTATTTCCCATGATTAAAGCGAGCCAATGTGATCAAGTTACTCAGCCTAGCACCACAGTTGCTCGAGTATTTTGTGACTACTGCTAGCTCAGAAAGAGGTGGTTGGACTGTAATGAATACCACGTAACTTGCCTCTGAAGTGACTTGTTGCTCTTGGCAGCATTTTTTGTATCAGTACCTTTACTCACCCGCTATGCTAGCTATTCACAAAGGCACTAATATTGAAAAAAAACTGCTAAGAGGAAAAAAGACACTTGAGAAGTCAGTTACCCAGTATCTGTAGCGAGCTAATTGTGCACCAGGCTTGTTATCAAGCAGTTGGAAATGAGTAATTTAAAAGACTATCGTGTTACCAGGGCCACAGCATGTCTGCCTTCCAAGGTAGTCACTTGCTCCTGACTGGTGTTGCTGGCTTTGCGTGCATCTGGATATACTGATCAAATGAAACATTTGAGGTTTTGGAACAATTGTATATAATGGCACATTTTCATATAGGTATGAACTAGATAATTTGAAGCCCTGACTATATCGGGGGGTAGCAGATGTCCAACAATGTACATACAATACAAGAAAGGAGATGCATTTTAGGTTGATTGGGTGTTCCTTCATTTAATGTTAAAAGACAGTTCAGCTGTTTGGAGAAATATGCACACAGTGATTTCCACAGTGCAATACTGTAAGCTTGGTAAGCATTGGTTTAAAAGATTAATAAAACTTAACAATTAATTAATGAGCTTTAATGTTAATACATAAATGCCCACATAAGTAATATGTATAACCACAGTGGCTTCTGATAAAAGTTAGGTACAGAAGAACAGCTTGTCAGTTATTTACTTACTGTTCTCTATGGTTGGATCATATGAATCAACAAACTGTCCTTCCACAAACTGAATCGTCAGCGAAGATTTTCCTGTAAAAAGCAAGGAAAACATAATTTGTATTGAAACAAGTCTTCGGGCTGTTATCACTTTATAGTTACTTAGATACACTAATATTTTTATAAGAGCCAATACAAGCTTTGTATGGTTCATTTAAACTCTATACATGACAACTGACCTATTTTTAAATGAACTGGCTATTCCTAGTAACTGGGTCTCCCGAACATATAAAAAGTAGTGCAAGAGCTACTTGGCATGTGCTCCGCTTTTGTTTTAACATAGCATAATTTAAATGCCTCCTCCAGTTTAAAACACATCTAAAAGTAGCAGTGTCCAATCCTCATAAAACTAAATTTAACAAACTGTTATACTTGGAATGCTTTTCTGTTGAGAAGCAAGGAAAACTAGAAATTATTTTCAGTCGTTGTACAGAAAACTAGAAACTTGGATGGAATTAGCCAAATTTGGTTTGACTAGGAGATTGGACATCTTCCCCATGACAAAAGGATGATCTCAGAATTCTTGAGATCAATATACTCTTCTATTAACCCTCTTAATGCCACGCTACAACAGACTGGTGAATTCTGTATTTTACGTACAATGATTGAGGGGGCATCATTGGATTTTTTTATTTTGAAAGCAATTTAACTGCTACTTTTGCAGATAACGTTCCCTATTATGCTGATCTGATCATATATCCCCGAATAAAGAGTAATGCAAAATGCTGCACATAGTAGCAGACTGAAAAAATGAAAACTAATTTAGTCTTGAAAGATTTTTCAAGATGGTAAAAATGAATCACATACATTGACCATAAAAAGTACCTTTAAAGTTCTGCAAGTGAAGACTTTTCAAAGCATTAGTGAAGTCTTAACACAATTTCCATTACAGCACATCTTCTGCATTTGGGAATCTACTAGATCCTATTACATTATGTTTACTGGACAAGTACACTCTTACAAAGATTGCCAAGTGTGTTAGCTGCTTTTGGACATGAGCATATTCTTCATTCGCCTTTACACTCTTCTCCTCAGCAAGAAGCACAAACAAAATACAACCTCAAATTACAATTTAGACTCAAGACCATCCTACTCAGTGGAAGCTGTTCAATGACATCATAAGTAACCAATGTTATAGATAAACTAGTTTACAGTAAAACTATCTTCAAGAATTAATTGTTTTGGATAAAGATTGCCCACTTGCAGTGCTTAGACCATGTTATGTTTATATTTTGCTGTAGAAAAAGTTATTTCCCAAACATTCCTTCAGGAGACAGTAAAAAAAAAAAGCTTCCACTTCCAACCCCCCCATTCTTGCTTCACCATACAAGGCTCTTGACTTGTTCACATTTGATTTTTTATGCTTATCAGCGTACTTAGCAAGTCGTTTTGTTAAAGACATTCTAAAAAACTGCAAGCCAAAGTACAAGGATGAAAGCGATGCAAGGGAAGTTTGGCTTGATATTTATAATTACATGTGCAGCCCATTCCTTCATTAACTGCAACTCTTCCATGGTTTAGTTCTCCAGGAGGAAGGAAGAAAATGTCACACACTGAGGATTTTCCAACAGCCATAGCCTTCATCAACTCAGTGCCTGGTTTATTTTAACATCACTGTCCAGCTCTGCCACGCTTATCCCTCTGCTGTCTCCTATCAATCATGCCAGTTTATTCAAAATACAATGCTAAGAACCCCAAAAAAACCCCCAAAAGACCAAACAGCACACAAGCTTTTAAGAGTTGCTTTTTCCCAAATCAAGTTCTTAAATATCTTTTCCTGGTACATCTAACAGCACAACTAAAGGTGTCATACTCACTGTGCATGAGTTTAGAGAACATCACACTTTAAATTGTTGGTCCAGCAAGGAGATGGGGGGTAAAAAGCAACCGTGCACATCCGAAATCATCCTGATAAGGACACACTTAGAACTATGACTACGCATCCCAGCAACCTTCCAAAATGGTGTATTTTGGACATCACTTAGAGAGTGAATGAACTTTCAAGCTATTTCTTCTTCAGCTATAAGCTTATGAAGTTGCTACACAAGAGTTCATGCTTCCAGATCTTTGCCAATACCAGCACATTAAGCAGTCCACGTTAAAATGAAGTTAACTATTCCTATATTAGTTTGTTATAACTTCAAGATAAGAAGAGCTAAGTTAAGCACAGATCATCACTGAGTATTTTTCCTCCTGAGAAGGAGGATCCTAAACTAACCAAAAGACTTGACTGCTACTGCCTGTCTGTGCTAAGTCTGGAAACCAAAGTCTGAGCCAACAGAAAATGCTGCATTTAATATCCAGCTGTATTAATTACTGCTTTCCTCCTGCAAGTGAAAGAGGAGGAAACACCACCAGACAAAACCAATGTTCCAACACTCTCCTCCTAAATTCCTCCAAGCTTTGTAACAAGCCTTCCAGTAACGATGTGTTTGTGATCACAAGAGGATGCCTGCTTTCCTAGATGAGCCACAGGGAAGCTCTGCAGTCTTGGATTCAGCCGTGTGCCACCTCGGGATAAGTGCATGTAACAGTATCCCACTAAACCAAGGCTTCCAAAGGGGACACAAGAAATTTAAAACCTAAGTCATTAACACCCCGCTGCCTTGTCTCAGCCCATGTCCAAGAGCAGGCAGGACCATGTAAACAACAGCTTCGCTTGAACTTTGCCCCACAGGTTTTATTCCAGGCCTTTGACCTATGCTCATGGACAGAAAGGAAAATTAAGTTGACAGTTTACCTCCTATCTCCTCTTTCCCCAGAAAGATCGAGCAACATTTTCAGAGAGAATTACAACATAAACATCATGTCCGTGAGGCATGAGCCAAGGAACTGCACGCATCCACGTTTACTGATGTGCTAACTCCATCTCCGAGCACTGCAGGGAGGAGGATGCAGTCTAGATGTGCATACACCACTAGCACACTTCAGCCTAAAAGGATGTGAGAGCCTGACACCAACAGCAAAGACTTGATTAATTGATTACTCAAGGGTGCATATCTCAAAAAAAGGCTCAGCTCTAATATGCCCTCATTTGGAACAAATGCCAAATGCGGTTTAGTTTGCTAAGCTTTTCCTTGTAGCATCCTCCACACTGGTACTTTTAGTATATCCACTGTCCTCAAGTTTGAGGAAAATAAACATCTGTTGAGACCAAAAGCAGAAGCATCATGAGCAGAAGCAAGACAAAGCCTACTGGAAATGGTTCACTAAATTGATGGAGACCTATGATTTTACGATGAAAAAGCATTTGCAAAGTCTTACTGGAGAAGACTATGCTTTAACCTTTTGACTCTGGTCAGAATCAGAGAGCTTAAAATGACTATGAAGAAATAAATGAACCAAATAAGTGCAACACTGGGGCAGGACAACAGCATGACTCCCTCCAGCTGTAGTTGCTACAGTAACTCAAAGCACCAGATACTCTATGGCAGAGGAGCTGTAAGCAAAATCCTCCAAGTTTACCGACTGTCCCTGGAGGAACAGGACAGAAGGTAAGGGCTGGGAGGAATGGGTTTTACAAGTGTTTAGAATACAAGTCCCAGGTAGCCGAAAACTCAAGTTGTCCAGATCTACCCAGAGGGTGTTTGCATACACCGTTGATTCTTTACAATATGGAGTGGTAAATAAATGTTTTCTGCTGTCAAAACAGAAAAGGAACAGGTTTTCAGACAGAAAGCCATTTCAAAAAATAAAGCTGTATTTCTGTTCATACAATAGACCACTCGGTACATAAAGCGGAACGTCCCATAAGCACTCTGACTAGCGCAGTCATAGCACATCAGTTTCAAATGCCATTACAATTGTCAAGACAAAACAATTACCAAACTGAGTTTTTACTCATCCTTTTACTTCTTGGACAAGAGCTGTAGCCTTTAATCTAGCCTTAAAATTCAAGCTTTACAACACTAGGCAGTTTACCAAGAAGATGAGTAACAGAGCATGGGTGGGCTGATGAAGAACTGGCCTCCCCAAAGAGGCCATGCCCTCTCTTCGGCGCACCGCCACATGCCTGCCATCCCCATCCCGCATCCTGTTCTCCTTGCAATAGGCAGAGGGAGAGCCCAGATGAAATTCTCATCTGCAGCCAACTTCCCCCCCAGACTCAAGAGACAGAAATGATGCAACTGGCCAGCAAGCAAGTCAAACAACAGCTCCACAAGCAAGGCATTGTGCAAGCTCGATTCCGCAGCTGCCCTCTAACGTGGCATCTCCACGATGACAGCCACTGGCAGCACACTGCAGTTTATTTCAACAGGAAGAATTTCTCAATACTCAACATCATCTGCACAAGCGATCAGTAAACACTTTGACAGGGTCAAGAACAACTACTACTGAAGAGTTGCAATTCTCTGTTCTGTTAGAATTTCAGATGCATGGTTTCTTTAAGCCATCTTTTCCCATTAAAACTTCTGCTTATGTACTTTGCTTAACTATTAAACACTTAACAGACACCACCATCTAATCCACTCCTACAAGCCTAGCATCTTACCTAAGTTAGTCTCTACACGGATCTCCTCAGTCTTACCTACAGAACAAACTAGTCTAGGTTTTGTCACAGAAGGGTTCAAGAAATTTCATAATGAAATGATCTCAGTCATAATAAACTAGGTAAGACTTACTGGGTCCTCAACTTTCAGTACCTCACACATAGTTATGCTCAACTTACTATTCTTCACAGAAATGAAGCTGTCATACTCGAAGTATGTTACACTCAATTTAACTTGAACATTGGGATCTTTATCTTCTTTAATTCAGAATACCAAGATGCAGAAAATGGAGACACCAGCATTTGCACAGTGCAGGTTATCTATTCATCCTCAGAGCACAAAGGGAGAGAATGACTTCTTGGAGCAGATGGAGGTTTAACTGGGCAGCAAAGGGAATTACAGCATCACTCTGTCAAAAACCTTTTCACAAGATAGTAGATGATCTCAGAACCCATCACTAGCTCATCATTCACTTCAGGCTTCATCATTAGTAATTTTGTATCATTAAGATTTTTTTTCCCCCAGGTACTAATTACAGCTACA